CATTGAGACATTGGAACAACAGAAGTCCTTTTATTGAGCTACATCACAAAAAAAATGTTCGTGTAGTCTTACATGACAAGAGAAAACAAGCGCGCAAATAATTCATTCATGACAACCGACTGCACACCAGTAACTTGATAAAGTTTCATCTTCACACAACTGTGAAGACAGTTTCGCATTTCTGGGAGAAGGATGTCAGCCATTACTTTGGAAACAATGTCTGTCAAAAGATTTGCTTTGTAAACATTAGCACACACGTCAGCAGCGTACACCCATGGGCAAATAGTAGACGCTAAATTAACCAATCAGAGCGCACGCTTTGCTTTAGTTATGTTATAATTGCTAATGAATACTGTACGTAAATTTTAACCTTTGATAATTGAAAAGGTCTTTGCTCACGACATAATTAGACTGCTCGGTAATTCTGTAGCAAAGCAGTAGGTTATAAAATTGAGTCACCACGTGTAAGCAAATTTTCATATGAAAATTAAGTTAAGCTTGATGAGCGTACAGTGCCCAGAGTAAGTTGCTTTCAATTATTAACATTTGATACCCATAGTTCCCACGAGTCCAGGTCAGGGATAGAGCATCTAGAATAGTAACCAGAAGGTCTTGGGTTCAACTCCTAGTGTAGAACTCGGATTTCTTTTTCCCAGTATGCCTGTGTCCCTGACAGAAAAACCATCATTTCATATACTTAATTTCCAGGCTAAAAATCCACCATCTCAATTATTTTCAATGTTCTTAAATTTAACAGTGGGTTTAACTTGGAAAACAGATATGCTTTGGAGCTTATTTAGGAAATAAACATGTACATGCACAGGCTATTGCAAAATCAGGTTTGGGATTTTGCCTAGACACATAATTAGCCTGCTGGCATAAAATAAACAAGGTGGGAAAGAGGGGAGTCATGTTTGCAGGCTCAGCCAGCAGCCCTCTGGGGCAAAATGTGTTGTTTCAAATCTTATAAATATATCAATTTATTCAGTTAGCCACTATTGTTTTAAACGGATGTTATACCCCCAACTAAGAGGCAGTTTTCTACTGGGTGAGAACATATATGTGGTGTGCCTCAAACCTGTATAATTCCCTTCATGGAGAACAGAATTAACTACCTCCCTTGGGCAGCAACAGCTTGAACCTTGGACAAATTCACGCTGTCAGCCTTGAGAGGGTATCAAATGACACCAGCAAATGACGAGCCATTTTGGGTTATGTATGAAAACAATGTATTTATTTGTTGTTTTGCAATATGCAATGCAATTAATTGAATTTCAACTCAAACAAGGATACGAAAATTGCAAATTTGAATTAAGCTTTGTGGTGAACAATAAGATGTAACACAGGGCTCAAAAAAGGTGCCGTCCGGTTGTCCGAGACAAGAAGGTTTTCCTGCTGGGCAAGTAGCTTTTCATCCTCACTTGCCTGCTGTGCAAGGGATCAGGCAAGCTGTCTGCCAACTAAATCTTTAAAAGAACAAACTAAGACTTTCCCAGGTCAAGCAAAATTCGAGAGCTACTTGTCCCAAGGGCAAGCTAGAATTCAAGTTTTTTTCAAGCCCTGTAAAAGTGTGCTCATTTACAGAGAGTAACAAAATACTTTATGATTGTTCAAACAGGAAAGAGTAAGTTTTGTTTCCCCTAAACCTCCAATGCACATTCAGTTTTCAACATTGAGGATCCCAGGGAATTGTGGAGTTGTGACCTTGGCTTTGATTAAAATTAATATATGTACCCTATACATAATAGCTAAACATTATAGCTGTTGTGAATCTGTATATGAATGCAAACTTTTGCCATGGAAGAACTACTCCTGGCATTCATACTTTTTATTGGAGATGGGGTCACATTAAGGGTATATTTTGGGATTAACAATACAAGATACTGTATATTAGGGTGACAGGGCTTGAAATTAACTTTTTTATTAGGGGCCAACTGGCTACTAATCCAAAATTGTGGTCACTAGATCGCCACTTTTGATTACCATTATTTTTTTACAGGTTATTTTCTTCCTTCAGTGTTTTCCTGATGTACACAATCTTCTTCATAATTCTAAGTTTACCAACACAGAAGCTTATTGGAAAGTAAAATTTTAAAGGAAGAACACAAAAACAACATTGCAAAATGATTATATTTTAGTGAAAGCAGCTGTAGTCGAGTTATCTGTGTTTTCTCTTCTTCCTTATTTAGTTTCTCATGTATACAATTTTTGATGCCAAGCCAAGGCACTCATGCAGTTGACGGACATATTGGAATTAAGCCCCCGTGTATACTCTGCTTTATTATTGGTATAAGTTGTACCAGGTTCCATACACACATAGTTTAGTGCGCCAGCGGTACCTCTTAATAAAGAAGCCCAGTCTGCAATTTAAGAATGGCATAAATGTACTTAAGCTACATGTATGTTTCAGCAAAGTGCAGAAATTTTTGTCTGAAATTTATCAGAAATGAAACAAAATGTGTCCAAAAATTAAACATCCAAAATAAAACATCCAAGAGTGTTATGTCCAAAATTCATTACATCACTTGCAAATAATTATTGTTTGCAAGTGTTAATAAAGTTACTTAGGGAGTTAAGTTGACATTTTACATTTTCCTCAATTTGTTTTCTTTCTTCGCTGTAGGTCAAGTACAGTGGTGGAGCTTGTAGTGACACAAATATAGGATATTTTATTGGTTTTGGTACAGTTTTCTTCTTTGTTTGTGCTGTATCTGCAGCTCAGCTGGTACGTTATATATTTAAACTCTCAGTATGCCCTGGTGCAACTTTTGTTGAGTAGTGGCCAAAAGCTGATTTGATTTGTATTTTGTAGGGTAGTAATACCACATGCTTATTTTTAACTTTATACAATGTGATTCATGAAATACCTCTTTTGTGTGTCATGCTAAATATGAAATTGAGAAAGTTTTACAGTTTTAATTTTTTTTCATTTGAGATACCAGTACTTGAAATGAGGGTTCACTCGTAACTTTTTTTCCATTTGTTGCAGGTTCTTTGTGTTCGATCAGAGTTTAAGCAGTTGAAGAGACCAAGCCTGTCCAAAGCCTGCCGGCTAACAGTACAAAAGACACTTTACCTTTGTATGATTATAGCATGTGGCTCAAGAGGCACTTATTACTCAATCCAGGTGAAGCATAATTTATTTTTTTAAAATTTTATTTATTTCATCACTTCCACACACAACTAGAAGTCCCCCCCTCCTCCCCCCCACCCTGTGCACACTAGCACCAAGTGCAGGTGTGTGAGGAAAAAGACCTTTTCCGCTTAACTCCAACCTTAGCCAGCCAAAAACAACACTTCAAGCAAAACTAATAGCACCAAATCTGATAATGTACATTCATAAATAATATGTTTGCTGAAAAAGAATTTTTTTTCCAGAGGTATCTTCCTGCCAGCTTGAGAATGAATTTGTTCAACGCGTATTACCCAGTTATTATTTCTGGTTTCTCAATAATCATATGTTTCTGGGCTGAGGTAAGTGATATTCCGATAGCACAAGTCCCAGCAATGGTAGCCTGATTCTCAGACAGTCCTGGTTGCTAGCGGCTACGTATTCTTTAGGGAGAGAGAGTGGGTGGCCATGAGCGACCTGGACTGTCTGAAAATCAGGCCAGTCCCAGCCAACGTGGTGATAGAGGCACAAATAAAAGTTAAATTTTGTTTTTTGGGTGGAAAATGAATGTCAGTTCTCAGGCCTTTTTTGTATTGGCAAAAGGCTTAACCCCGAGGGTTCTCATTTTATTTAAACAAATGTTAGTGTAAGTTATTTTTGTTAAATTTTATAGTTCACATACAGTGGAACCCCGCCTTACTACCACCATGTTAATATGACCACCTAGTTATTACAGCCACTTTATTCTGGCCCAGAAAAAGCTCAGTCAGTTGTTTTCTTATTTAAAGAACCCCTTTAATTAATACGACCACCCCATTAATGCGACCAATTTTTCATAGCCTGAAGGTGGTCATATTAACGGGCTTCCACTGTATTAATTTATTTTATTATATGGCTTTGGCTTGTGGCTGATATAACGCGCGCTCTGATTGGCTAAGAGCAAGATCTGAGCAGTCATTATGCAGCCGTAATGCCCACGGGCCGATTACGGATTATGCAAATTAGGAAGAGCCCGGCTCGGAAAATTCAAGC